GTGGGGGTGGGGTAAGCAGCTCCCCCACAGACTTGTTCTCCACCGAGCTCCCATTGTGCATGTTGTTGCTGGAGAGCAGAGAGGCCTTAAAGAGATGAAAATAAGGCAGTGAGGTAGGGCCAGCACTCCAGGGAGGCGTGAAAGCTCTCTAGTGGGGATACCCCTTCCTGGGGCTGGGGAGGCCTGTCATGGCCAGGGCTCAGAGTGTTGGCAGGCTGACCTGTGGCTTGGCTTTGCTTTGCTGTCAGTGCAAGGGGCTGTGCACTGCTGGAGACGGAGCTGCGGGGTGTGCTCAGCTGACTCCCCACCAAGCATCTGACTTTGGCTGAGAAGTGGGATGAGGCTGAGACCTGCCCACCCACTTACCCAAGCAGCTGGACACTTGCTGCTAGTCCAGACAGGCCCCCATGGTGGGAGTCCATGTCCTAGCCCCCTCTCCAGACTCACTTGCACTTCAGGCTCACTTGCAGGCTGAGCCATGAGCTATGGCTGGCATCCCCTCTGCTCCCCACTCTTCACTGCAGACCCAGCAGGCGCTGTCCAGGCCTGGGGACATCTGGGGTCTGCATGTCTGAGGGGCTGGGGCTGGGACTGGTGCTGACCTCTTCACTGTGCGCCATGGCCTGGGTGCTGGGGGGCTCCCCTGCACTGCTGCCCAGGTGCTTGTAGTAGTCTCCTGTGCTGGGCTGCTTGCTGAAGTTCCTTGACCTCCTGCTGGAGTCGACCCGCCTCAGGCCTTCGGGGCTGTTGTCTCGGGAGGTCAGCTGTGAATAGCAGAAGCCAGGGCTGGTTAAGGCAGAGTGTTACAGGCCCAGGCTGAGCTCAGGGCCCCATGGTGCCAGGCCCTGCAAATGCATTGGGGCAGGGGAGATGGTTCCTGCCCCATCTACACACTAGACAGCCCAGACCAGGGGTTCTCAACCTTTTTTAAAATCAAGCCTTTCCTACATTAGCCTCAAGGGTCCCCTCAGAAAATCTCAGCTCTCAGCTTTTCATTCATTTCTTGATTACAGAAAAATAATAGAGCAAGTCATGTGTTGGAGAGAGCTCAGAAAGGTTCTAACACTATGGATGCCTACTGGAAACTGCTGGGTTTATCTAGTGAATCATGTGTAGCTGTTTGCATGCTTAACAGTAGTAATATTACATGGCACCCTGAATCACCCTGACAAGGATCTCACATGCCCACAAACATGGCTGTAAACAGTCCTGCTGCTAAACAGCCCAGCCTGCAGGCAGGAGCAGTAGCAGTGGTCCATCACCTGGGTGTGTGTATCACTGGTTTTGCACTTCACACAGCCAACAGCCTGAGTGGGATGTGGCAGGTGTGGTGTGGGGGCCCTGGTGAGCCTCACTCATCTGTGTCACAGGCAAAGGGAGTCCTCAGAGGTTCTGAGGTGTGAGAAAGCAAGTGACAGGTGCCATCCCT